TTTTTTTTTTTTTAGAAACTGTGAAATGTATCTCCGCAAAAAGAATATAACCAACAATTTATATACGGTAGTATAACAACTTATGTCCGCATGCAGCTATGTATGTAATTTGTTTCTTTCAGTCAGCCTGGCTGGATTACGTAATGAGATGGAGTAACTCGCATGAGCTTGGTAATAAGGTAAGTAAAGAATATAATGTTTCAACATGCCAGACCTTTAGACCAAAGTTATATGATAATCGCATGGGTGAATCAGGGGGGAGTAGGGGGTGGATTATTTTTTAAAACGCTCTTCGCGTTCGCACAATCGCGTCATAAAGTTCGCGAAACGATAGTAACAAGAATATAAACTGTGAGAGAAAAAGATTGAGAGAACATATTGAAAACACAAAGCAAAGAAAAACCGTTCGACAAGAAAAGTATAATTTTTCTTTTTCTTTGTGTTTTATTTTATCCTTTGTAAACAAAAAATATCTTCTACCGCGTGTAAAAATGTTTTTTTTTTTTTTTTTAAACCAATTTCTTACGGGGGGGAAAAAAATCACTTTGGTCAGCGAATAAAAAATAATCCTCTCGTTTTTTTTTACGGGGGATGTAGGCCTTGTAGTGGTGTCTTTGATTATTTGTCCTCACATGCAATTAGGTAAATATAATTCGATATGTTCGTAATAATAGTAAAGTTACATCGTAACAAAGCCACCACAGTAATAGGAAGTTTGTTTGTAGCAGGACTCACCCATAAAGTCTGCTGTCCCGCAAGCTGCTCCTGCTCCGAATAACACAGAAAGCACAGTTACGATATATCGAACAACAGTCGTCGTCGTCGTGTAGTAGTAGTAGTAGTAGTAAAACGAAACAACGGAAATTCAACGAAAATTCGTTTGTACTCATAGAACCATGAAATAATCGATTTTTATTGAAACGATACATGTACAAGTACGGCTTAAACACAAACAAAAGATATGTATAGAGATATGTATATATGTATCCATTTGGCCTTGAAAAGACAACAATAAGAAAACTTTCACCTTTCCTTATTCTCGCGAACTCGAACAAATGTAACTCTCTTTACGGATTACAATTATCGTGTGTGTTTTTTTTTTTTTGTTTTTTTCGTGAAAAAAATCGCAATTTCTGAACAAATCAAATCAGCGGCGCTATTTGTGTGTGATCGCATGGATCCGCTCCCCTACACATATCACATGTATAAACACATGATCGCGATTCGCTTCGTGAATGGAGAGCGAGATTGCTGAATTTGTACTTCGTATAAAATATAAACCAAAAACGCTAAAGTTATTCTTTGGTTTGTTTGTTTTTTTTTTTTTTTTATACACTTTGAGAGACGTTCCAGAAGCTAATAAGCTACGGATATTATTTCTGTGNCTCTTTTCTCGTTACAATAATCTCTCGTTACATAAATTTTTATTCGTAATGTCGTGTGCACATTAACTTGTTCTACTTGCTGTCGAGATTAGCATCGTATATTCGTATTTTAAATATATATTATATATATATATATATATGTTGTTTATAAAAATGTATATATACCTTTCTCTTTGTTAAATTATGTATGCTTGTGAACGAAAGTTTCGAGACATCGAAATTTGCAATCAAGAGAAAAAATCACAAGCGACTCTGAGCGCGACTTTTCAAGAGCGTTTCAATTCAGGACTACTTTTAGCTCGTACATATAAATACGTAAAATTATATATATATACAAATGTAATGTAAGTATACAATGGGGGGAAACTCAAGTTTTTCCTCTCGCCTCGCGAATGAAATTTTCTTTTTTTTTTGTTTTTTTTTTTTTATCACAGTTCAACACTTCCGTTATTGCTTCGAACAAACAGCGATTGCATGCAGAAAATATGCGTAGCGATAATAATAATAATAATAATAATAATAATAATAACAACAACGTATTTATATGTAATAATACGTATCCCGTCGAAAATGTAAAGAGAGTAAAAAGATAATATTTTATGTTCGTTATTTCGAAACAAATTATATATCAAATCTTTTTCTTTTTTTTTCTTTTTTTTTTTTTTTTACAAGTAACGAACATCTTTGTCACCGAATTTATATAAACGGACGGACAGTCGAATACTTGGACGGATGTATGTGTGTGTGTGTGTGAGATATACAGTACATTATTATTATACACCAAATACGGTATATATACGTGACTAATCTAAGTCTCTAACTTTGTCTTTTTTTTTTTTTCCGTGCATTCAGCAATTAGTAATTGTGCGATTATGTAATTCGAAGTACACGTGAATCTGATTTGTTTTTTCTCTGTATTAGTTTTCTTGAAAAGTGTCGGAAATAAAATCGGGACTCGGATATATGTCTCGGCGCGGAGTTTTTTTTTGAAGAAGCTATACAATATGTATATATATATATATATGTGTGTGTGTGTGTGTGTGTGTGTGTTGTATACATGTAACGAGGTATACCAGAAGAAAATTTCTTTCTTTTTTTTTTTTTCTTTCGAAAATCAAACTAAAGAGAGGAGGCGGATGCAGAATATATATAATATATATACTCAACTATCGTACGTATAGTACATTTTGCTATTGTGGTACGTACTGGGGATGATAGTAAGTTGCTTATGTGCTGCATACCTGTCGTTACCGTGTCTGAATAAAGCTAGAATCTCTTCGAACGTTTTATTCTTGGTCTCGGGAACCTTCTTGTACGTGAAGATCCAGAAGATGGCTAGAAATGCACTGAACGGTAGGAACGTGTAGTTTTCAAGGCTAGTCTGTAACACATTACAAACGCGCGTGTAGCGAGTTTGCGCGAGATAAAAAAAAAAACAAATCTGGATCGCCCAACTCAATCAAAGTGCTGCGCGCGTTATCAGCACCGCGATAATAAGATTGTTACATGCGATATATATCTTCTGTCTCTTTTAACACGACTATTCTCGTGAAAAAAGGGACAAAAAAAAATAGGGGAAAAAAAATTTAATCAAAAGGACGATCGCGGCGTCTTACCTTCATGCTTGGAAAACCGATGCCAACCAAAAAATTAGCCAACCAGTTGATGAGAACCGCGATTGACATGGCGGCGGGTCTGGGGCCCTGCGAGAACAGCTCCGCCGTGATCATCCAGGGGATGGATCCGGGTCCCACCGCGAAGAACACAACGAAGCCCAGAGTTGACACCACCGAGATATAGGACATCCAGTCGATCATCTCCTGCACATAGCCGAAAAACTCCTATCAGGCAGTAGAATTGTGTTCTTCTTTCCTGAGCTGCTGGAGGAGCCTCAGGAAATAAACCAAAAAATCATACGGCAAACCCAGAAATCCGAAAAACTCAATCGGTAACTCAGAAACGTAATATAGGCGTAATAATAATAAATCTTGTAATACTGCATGCGGTGCGCAGCTCAACCCTGTGTGTATGAAGGCGATAAAGGTGATAATTGGCGGCGAAATATATTCTCTGTACGAAAAAAACGGACAATGTCCAGTACGTAATGTACAACAATACAAATAATGAACACCATGTGTGCCTTGGTATTATGTACAGTATGTACGATTTCTCGTTAAAAGCGGTGAAGCGCGCGACACGCAATAATAATGCTCTTTCGTAATGAGAGTGCCAGGATTTTTGCTTCGACCTCGATATAGAAATAATAGACGATGCGATCGACAATTTGCGCGGAACATTCAAGCAATCTCTCTACAGGAAAAAGGTTTTTTTTTTTTTTGTACACAGTTTTTCTCGAACAATTCGCAAGAAAAGGAAAGAACGAGGTGATGTAATTTCCTCGCAATTTTGGAAAAGAGTACGTATGAGGTGCGAATTTTACCACGAAATGGCTCCTGTAAGATACACAACTGAAAAAAGTACTACTACGTAAGACTGATTGCTCATCGTTTGAAAGTGTGAGAGAGCGTCGGTGCTGGATAGAGACATTCAACAGCTATAGAAAAATTTGAATTTTTTTGGTTCATGAAAAGGATCGTTGGTACGTATTCTAAGAGACAGAGATAGATAGATAGGTAGATAGAGAAAGAGAGAAAGAGAGAGAGAGAGAGAGAGAGAGAGAGAGAATACTTAGTAAATATGCTTATTGTAATGCAATTTTGATGTAATGCGACATATAGAGATTAGTGACAGGTTTGAGCCAAGTATAGAAACATAAGTTTTTTTAATAATTAAACGGGAAGTAAACGTCTCCTCCAGACAGTCACGAAAGAGGTCGGCGGTGATGAGGGAGGGGATGGGGGAAGCGGGTTATGAGAAAAAGCAAAACTACTAGTAAGCCACAGAACGATTAAACAAAAACGGCGTGCAGTTTACGATACATGCGACACTTTGCTGCATTTGCCTTTGTTTCTATGTAATGATTACCGATTACGTTATATATTATCATTATAGCTCGCACACAAGTAGTAAGAAGAGCGCAAACAATTTTAATAGAGCTAACTTTATTTGAAACATTTTTGACAGTATATTACATTTACTTTCATATCTTTAGAGAAATTTGTAGTTTCTTTTTAGAAAAAAAAAAAAAAAAACAATTTATACTGCGGTGTGAAACTGTCGATATATCGAGACAAGAATTTTTCTACGTGGCGAAACGAAAGAGACCGGGCATGCGGGTTAGTAGGAACGTGACTTATTAGTTACATGAATGGCGGGGAGAAATTAAAATGAGTTGACTCGGTGATGCAGATAGATTTGTATAGATATAAGTAGTGGTTCTCACTGTCGGTGCAGTGCTGCACTCCAGCTGTGAACAAAGTGTTTAAGGTACACCTTTTGCCAAGGTGCATAGAGTGTCAAAAGCGACAGAGATACGTATAGGCTATGTACAAAAACAATTTCATGTTCTTTGCGATACGACTCTTCTGAGTGAAGCACAAATTATTTCTTACGACATACAACAACGGAGACGGTATTGGTTAAAACTAATCGGTAAACTAATTCGCCAATTGTTCTGTGTGTGACAGATATGCGATAGACAGAGAGATGGAGAAGTGCTCTCGTGGTTATTGCAATTGGTAAAAACGTAGATTAAAAATTATTCCCGTCAAAGTGCGCGCCGATCGATCAACCGTTTCTTTAAAAGCAAACTAAAAAATTACGTAACGAACATACGTGCGAAGAAATTCCCGGAATTCGTGATATAATTTTTGTAGCTTTCTTTTCTCTCTTTATCGTGTGTAAATATCGTTTCGGACTGACGGAACGCGCGTGAGAAAAATTGCCCGTGCGCGCCGCGGCTTATCGGTTGAAATAATAAACCGGTTGCGTTTTTGATATTTGTTTCTGATAAGAACGCAATGAAATTCCAACTCACCTTTATGAGAAACGAAATCGTGATAAATATTGAAAAGATAAACATGCCACCAAGACCATACAAGTGCAATGTACGCCTCCCCGTTCTATCCATCAGCGGGATAGACACTAGCGTCATGATAACCATAATGGCACCTATGCCAATGGTTGCGAACTTGGCACTCTCGTCCGTTAAACCAGAACTAGTGAACAGATTCGTGGAGTAATAAAATACCTGGAAATGGCGCAAGAATTTTTGAATCAGAAGTTGCTCGTCCCGTTCGTTGCTTGAATATACGAGATACCGCATATACGATAATATATATATATATATATAAGTGGTTTTACTCACGGCATTGATACCCGAAAGCTGTTGCGAAAGTTGCATAACCACGCCAATAACGAGAGGCGCTCTCAGAGTCGGGCTGCATATGAGCTCCATCATCGAGATCGTAGACTCAGCTTGTTGAGCTCGTTCCTCCGCTTTCATTTCCTCAATATCTTCCTCAACCTGGTTACTGGCTCTCAACCTTCTCAAAGCTTTTCGAGCCTCTTCCTCCCATTGTTTAGTAATGAGCAAATATCTAAAATTGTGTTTTTGTTTCATTAAAAAAAAAAAAAAAAAGACCGGCGAAATTGACAGATTCCCTTGATCGTGATCTTCGTTCTCTGTTTCATTTGGACGTTTTTTTTTTTTTTTCTTTTCAACGCACGTTTCTTTTATCTTAAATGATTAATTGCTAAAGATTATTCTCACCTTGGAGATTCCGGACAAACTGGAAGCAGCAGTAGCTGTAAAATGGCAGGACAGATAGCTAGTCCTAAGAGCACGGGCCAACCGTCGTTTGTTCCAAGAATTTGCTCGATGCCCAGCACCTGGGAGACCAGGAGGCCCACCGTAACAGCGAGCTGGTTCACCGTGCCTAGGCCGCCCCTTAGGTTTAGTGGCGCTATTTCCGATATGTACATGGGAACCAACGAGGTGTTCAAGCCGCAATTGACACCGATAATAAACCGTCCGAAGAACAACATTTCGTAAGACTCAGCGAGTTTCGTAAAACCCATCAGGCACGCCCCCACGATGCCCAGCACGTTGTTTAGCAGTAAGCCTCCCTTTCTGCGATACAAAGAGCAGAATTGAATCAAGTGTTAATCTCCGCATTTTTTTTTCGTCTTATTCGACAATTTTTCATCGATTATACAACGCGATAGAAAATTTATTCTATCGAAAAACATAGAGTAGTTAAGAAAAAAAAAACACTCCAAAGCCATGCAGAGTTTAAAAAAACGTGTTAAAATAATTATTTTAAATACAGGATAAAACTCGGGAAGAAAATGTCGCGTAATGTGAAAAGGTTATTAAAAAAAAATTGCACACTTTCGTTAATGCGCACCGAGATCGGACGACACCAACCTGCCAAATCTGTTGGCAATCGTTCCTCCGCTGAAACCACCCACCATACCGCCGATCGCAAATATGCTCACGGCCACGGAATACAAAGTCTTAACAGAATCGTCCGAGATGTCCTCTCCGTACCTGTCCTTGTATACGTCTTTCATAAAATTCTCTATATTCTGTAACACAAGTTGTGCGCGAAACGCGAAGTGAGTTACCACCGGCCGTACAGGATGTTTATTCATGAGAGATAGTCATTTCGCGAATGTACAGGCACGTAGAAGCGCGCGGCCGTGTTTAAAAGAGAGACGTACCACTTCAGGCGCGTTAATTACTCCAGTGTTGTATCCGAACTGCAACATTCCCAATACGGCTGCCAGTATTGCATACGACAGGAAGAGCGTCAGTCCCTGCAAGTATCCAAAGAGATTTATCGTTTCACATCTCGCGCGTAATAACAATAATAATAATAATAATAACACGAATACGGCGATTTTTCGCATTAACGCAATTGTTGCAAAATTATATGCATAACGCGTGACGAAAGGAAATAAGGAAGTTAATGGATTACGCGCGTATGTAATGAGAAAAAAAGGCCAAAAATCAAAATAAAGATACAATAACGTAAGGTTATTTTTAAACTCTGTTTATTGGCAACATCAATGTACACACAATTCTCACAGAGATCAGGTACATCTAAAAATTCAAAAACAAAGCGAGACGATACACGCAAACAATAATCGTTCGTGTAACGAAACTTAAAAAACGTCGCATTCTCAAGTTTGAAACGCAACTAAAAAATGCTACAAACAAAACAAAAATTAGTTCGAGAAGAGGTCACCTGCTCCAGGAGCCTAAGTTTCCGCCGATGGGAGTGTTCTTCCAGTCGATCCACATACTCCCGCAATTCTTCTAAATCCTCCTTGACCTGCTGCACCGCATCTAGATCTTGCTGCGTGTCAGCGAAAAGAACATCTGTGAGATGACTCCTATCTGATTTCGATATTATCATTTTTACAATCTTCCGTTTTCGGATTAAAAAAAAAAAAAAAAATAATAAAATTGCTTCATTTCGTATTTCAATCTTCATGCATGATCGAAAAACTAGGATATCGATTTCTTCGAACATGTTGCGGCGTTAAATCGAGCTTTTTATTTTTTATTTGTTAAATAAAACAAATTGTGGATTTTTTCTTCGAGTTTTGCGTAGTTTTTCTCGCCGTAAATAAATGTGTAACGTAATCAATGTAAATCAGAAACGATAGATTAGATAACAAATGAAATTATTTAGATACGCCGATCGTCATAAAGTACCTTGATCGCGACCATGTCCCGCTTGACCTCGCTGACCTCGCTTTGGCAAGACTCTACGCTCTTCGTGAGTTCCTGCAGCTGCGTGCGAATCTCGCAGAGAGCGACGGTGGTCTCCAGCTGGCGGTCACCCCGCTGCAGCTCGTCCAGCTTGGCACTCAAGTTCATACTCATAACGCTGACCTGTTTCTGCAGACTGTCCCCACACACGGGATCCCCGCGTGAATCTCGCTGACGGGAATAGCGGATCGACGACGTAACGCGTCGAGCACACTGATCAAAGACTAAGTAGGATCTAGGCTTTCGCCTCTAATAAAGGTCCCTAACACACAAGTCCAACTATCTCCGCGCTTATAACTGCCGAGCCTTTACCGCCTTGCGAGACGCGATTTTTGTATTTTTTTTTTTTCTTTCTTTTTTTTTTTCCGTGTACGCGCGACTTGTATATATCACTTGTATATCGCGATAGTAGCACATCATGAGAGAGATACAATGAGAATGGCGCAGATGGAGTTATGCAACGTGATGAAAATTGAATGAATAAAAAACAAGACGATTTCAACAAGGTGCAAAAGAGCGCCTGGTTATATACGCGTTTTTTTTTTTTCACAACAACCCCCTTCCCCCCTTGGAGAGCGCGGCGAGCCAGCGTCAGCTCGGCAGCCATGGGTTAACGTTTTAAAAAAAAAAAAAAAAAAAAAGAGACGTATAATATACGTAATACAGCACGTGAACAGATAGATTTACACACGATATATGTACAATCGGCTCTCTCTCTATATGTATATATATATATATATATATATTATGTATAGAGTGAATATTATATTATGTCAAGAGTTGCAGAAACAAAAAAAAAACAATATAGCAGACAAAAAATACAAACGCCACTAAAAGCACGTCTATAAAGTGTGTGTGGTGAGTGTGAGGGAGTGACAGATATATATACTACAAAGAGTGGTTAAATATATATATATATAATAATTCTTCGCAGCTGTGCACATATTAGATGGAAGTTTGTGAATTCGCGTGTGTTGTGTATAGATATAAGACTATACAAATATACGAAACACAAGTGAGCACGCATTAGCATTAGAAAAGAGAACATTTCGAAATGACACTCTCGTCAGTCGGTGAGGTCTCTCGAACCTAACCATATCGCCTTTTCTCTTTTTTTTTCTTTTGTTTACGCATTTTTTTAATACACATTCTCTTGTATAAATAATAGTAATAATAATAATAATAATAATAATAATAATAATAATAATAATAATAATATCTATGGCCACGATGCATGGAAAATGTGCAAGTGAGTGAAAATGGCTGATACATCTCGCACGCGCTCGAGAGGTGTGTACGTCGAACATTACGCGCAATATAATATATGTGATCGCAATGAAAAGGAATCGTGAGTTTTTCTTTTTTCTTCTTCTTTCTCGAACTCGGTGAATTGGCAAACTCATCGATCGATGTGCACAGCCAAGCAGAAAGGGTGATTTAAGATGATAATTAACAGTAGAAACAGGGCGAGAAAAAGAGAGAGAAAGACAGAGAGAAAGCTTTCTTTTGTTTTTCTAAAATGTATATATGTGATGAGCGACAGGTGAATAGCAGAAATGAATGAACACATGATTCGCGGGGAGAAAGAGAGAGAGAGAGAGAGAGAGAGAGATGAAGAAACAGATAAGTAAAAATAAAGAAAGAGGGAGAGAGAAAGAGAGAAAGAGAGAGGAAAAAACAAAGAGGGGGGTGTGAAAACGGGCAGGTATACGACATATACGGCGGAGATATGTACACTTATCAAACGAGGAGGAGGATTTGCACCACCTGCCTGATCAAATGAACAAGGCACAATGAAAATCTAAGAAAAATCAAGTGAGAGAGACAAGAGATCGAGGATCTAAGCATCCAAAGAGAAATCTATTGAGAGATATTACGTACGGCATTCGGGGAACGTGTGCAGCTATAAAGGGATGCGCATTCAGAAAGATCGAGGCGTCGGTTCAATAATAATATCACGTCACGTGTGTTACTTCATTTCATTCAGTGGCACAAAACTGTTTTTTTTTTTTTTTTTTTTGTTTTGATATGTGTACATAAAAATCGAAGACAAAGGGAAGAGAAAAGGGAGACAGAAAGAAAAAGAGAAAAAAAGAGAGAGAGAGAGAGAGCAGTGATGATGTTGTCATGTACCTGGGAGGTAGGGAGACCATGGCTGTGTTCCGAAACTACAGTAGCCTCTACGCCTCCCCACTCTCACTTCCTCTTGATTCAGTATTTCGTCTTATTCTCACAGATCTATTTGTTCTTTGCTTTGTTTGCACACGACATATGTACGTACGTTGGATTATCCACCAATCCAATCAATTGACTCTGAACTGCTTGTTGTCAACAGTGGTTGTCCACAACCAAAGGTGGAGGGTAACACGTGTACACGGCGGGGAGAGGAGGTATAAGGCCCGACGACGCCCTGCCCCTGCCCCTCCTCTCTTATCACTCACTCACTCTGTAAAACTTTACCTAGTTTGGAAACACAGTCGTGGTTCAGTCAAAAAATCAATGTCTTAATGATAGATTCGTTCGCATTTAGTAACCGTGACGGTTCCGATTTTTTCGCTCTTTGTGTTTTTTTTTTCTTTTTTTTTTTTTCTAAAGTTATACGAGGAAAAAACTAAAATAAAAAAAAACCAAGATATATCGAGAGACGGAGGCGTCACGTGTGAAGAAAGATCGGGGTTGCTGTTTTTTTTTTTTTTTTTTTTTTTCTTCTCCTCGCTTCACACGTCACCATGCGACGCACCGCCAGCTTACTCACCCCTGCCTTTTGCAAGTCGCCCGCGTCCACGAGCGAGCTTGCGCACAATTTCTAAAACGGCCCATCACTTTATGCGGAACGAACGCTCGGCAAAATAATTGACAAAAAGTCAGCAATGAGAGTTCACATAATGAGAGTGACGATAAAGAGAAAATAAATCAGACACACGCACACAAATAAGTTCGCACAGCGACGGCACATCGAGCAACAAGTAGTGGTGCGTTTCTCACCTTGTGTGTGTGTGTGTGTAAAATCTACGACACGCGGAGGGGGGAGAGGACCAGTTTCGTCGTTCGGCTGAAAAGGATTCGTGCTCGGTGGTGATTCTATATATTATTTTGGTGTCGCACGCACAAGCGCGAATAACATTTTACTTCAACTCGATTCGCGATCCGATCCGGTGTTTCGAGAATTATTTTTTATTATTTATTTATTTATTTACACGAAAAAACGTGTGTGTCTCGCTTAAAGAAACTGTGTGTGTATGTTTCGCCTTTGTTATATTTCGTGTTTGACGATTCGTCAAAATTTTTTTGCAAACCTTTCGACTTGATCTAATTCTTGTTTTTTTTTTTTTTTTTCCTCTCCCTTCGCCAATGACAATGCCGTTGACAATGGAATTTTGTCGCGCTTCGTTGAAAATCAATTACACATGCGCTATATATTCCCTATATAGCGCGGCGTCTATAAAACCGGAAATACCGACCTTCGCCGTCTTTATTCTCTCTTCCGTGCGCGGTAGTGCTATTGCGGGGCTTATTTGTGCACCTGTGTGACTTTCGAAAGGGGATATATGATTTTCGAATGAAGTGGAGCAATCAGTGGTAAGCCTGCGAGCGCCGCAGCCAAAAGATTCAAGTAACCATAACAAACGGTATAATATCGATACAGTGTGTCTGATTATCGAGACTGTTACATGAGACCCGAGAGTATGCGTGTGTATGCGTGTCCGTGTGTGTGTGTGTGTGTGTGTGTGTGTATGTTGTGTAAGTTATGTACAAGAACAGGTTTAAAGAGCGGAGTGTGTGATTTATGTATAAATGATGAATGGCACGGCGCAAAGCCTCGCATTGCATTCTCGGAGAGATACATAGAGAGTTCTATATAATATAAAAAAATGATAAGCGGGAGAAAGATTCGTTCTTTTTTCGTTTTCTGCATTTTTCTTTGAATGATTGGTCTTGTTTTTTTTTTTTTTTTTTTTTTTTTTTTTTTTTTTTTTTTTTTTTTTTTTTTTTTTTTTGTATCTTTTTTTTTTCTTCTTGTTTCTTCTTGTTGTGTGATTTCTCTGTTCTGTGGTACGTATAACGTAAAAAAGAAAAAAAAGAGGCACCGCCACTTTACAGGCCGGAATTACCTGGATGCGTTTGCAACATAGTTAGGTTCTCGAGTGAACGATGTTTATACGAAATGGCACACAACGTCGTCGTATGAAGTTCGTTTTTGCCGGTAACAGCTTACGGCTCGCAAAATGATCGATAAGTAAGTGTTATCGATTCTAAAGAGGGGTTGGGGGGGGGGAGAGGGAGAGAGAAGTAGCGGAGAGAGAAGCGCTTCAACACAGCGGGAACAAAAGAAGAGAGCGAGGTGTGTCCTCTCTTGATTGGATATGCAAGTCTCGAGAGCGCTCATAACACGCTTGTGATTCATAATGCGCGCGATGTGTGACACTAAGGCGAAGCCGAGTTACATACTCACTCGTGATGAGAGAGAGAGAGAGAGAAAGAGATTCAAAGGACCCGAGTCTCTCGTGACTGTTAACGTTAGCACGATTGAGCCCCCATTATACGAACCGACAAGACAAGCAATTTCCGCGACACAAACCAAATTTCGCGACAACAACAAAGTCCCGATCGCGAGGTGTTGATGACGTCGACAAAAGACAAATTTCTCAGAAAATGTCGCAAAAAAATAATTAACAGCGGAAGAAAGGCAAAAAAACGCAGTGATGTGCATAATATTTATTCGAAGTTAATCGAATCAATTAAATATTAGACTTACGTTAATTAAATTTATTAGACGAGACTGTTAATTTGTCGTTTTTTTCTCTTCTCTGTTTTAATATATTCAATTAGAAATAATTGAACAAACACCGCGCGCACCTGTATGTGCGACTCAATCTTTTTTCTGCTGTTAATTGTTCTCGTGATATTTTTTTTTTTCGAACATATTCCTTTGTTCTCAGAATTTGTGTTAATTCCTGTGATGTAATGGACTGTAATGTGTGTGAAATTACTGGCGATGTTTTTCTTCTCACGACCACCGCTACAGCGTACACAGCCCTAATTCTTTATCATTTCGCTTAACAGCAAATTGTGTGTATATGTGTTTGTGTGTGTGTGTGTGTGTTGTGTGTGTATGTGTGTAAGCTAACGTTCGATCGTGGCATATAAGAGATATCTCAACTTTAAAATAGTATCAGAAATAGAGCAGGTCAAGAATAAATCATTCGGGAGTTGAATGTTCGGATAATGGCGACTCTATCATGCCACATGAGATTTAGACACAGGTATATAAGAGACTAAAAAAACTTTCTACGCTTCACTCGTCGTGGAAAGAGTAAAGTATGGTTTTTCTATACAAGACCCTAAAAAAAAAAAAAAAAAAAGAGATCAAACTACTATAAAATGTGAAAGTCAATACAAGAACTCTAGAGCTAAAGACTAAAAGAGTATATATGTAACGTCGGAAAATATTTCAAATGTGTAAATTCTTTGAGCACATTCGCTCGCGCAAAAGCGTTTTCGCCGTTAATCCTCTACGGCCGCTTGTTGGCGTGGAAGAGAGATAACAACACATATATGTATACGTATTTATATGTATATCGCAAGCTCAATTTCCTTGATTTCGCGTGTTACACACGGGAGGATTACGTTCGGTCGTAGAAGCTTAACGTTTCGTCAGCCGAACAATACAGATATAGACTGCGAAGTGAGAGGTTTTTGATTTGAATTTGATTTGGAATTTGGAAGCCCCGAACCGGGCTGCTGTTTTTTGTTTCTTTCTTCTTTTTTTTTTTTTTTTTTTTTTTGCGAATGATCGCGGCTACGTTACGGGGTAGGGTGGGGGGGAAGGGGCACCGACAAGAGTTCACGAAGTTCACACGAATCCTTCGCAAACTTCCATCGGCGCTGCTCTCGACGCCCGACAAAATCCAGATAATTCTTCGGGACACCGACGGTGGCGACGCCAATTGTTGCCTTTGACAACGTAAAATATATATATATATAAATTGTGTAAATTTTTCGGGGTTGTCATGAAAGCCTTGTTGGTTTTTTTCGATAACGACTAAGTTTCGAATAACGGCCAAGTTGGTCCAAGGATGCTAATGATCTAAGAGAAGCCTAGCAGCCGAGGCGACTAATCGTCATATACATATCAGTCTGGAATAATGATTAAAGTGAAGTCAGCGACAAGCCAAACATTTTTTTGCGCATTTAGATAGAACTTTGAAACTTTGTTTCTTTGTACCAAGCGTAAAGTGTGAAAATGTGAAATTGTGCGTTTTTTCTAGATTAGATCTTCAAGATGAGGAGAATAAAAATCGATCGCCGTTGCTTCGGCTCGTTGTAAACGGCTGCTATATAATTCCTACCGAAAGAGATCAACAAAACTTGGACGACAACTGTTCGTCTCTCGACGTGGTGATGTGTACCGATACGTATATATATAAATAAATGCGTTAACCGCGAATTTTGGGTCAGTAGAGTGGAGTGTTGTACACCGACGTGAGGGTATAACAAGGGAGGGATACCAAGAGATTTGTGAGAAATTCCTGTTGTCTAAAAGAGATCGGAAGGTGTGTGTAGGCGCGCGCAACACGCGGAACACGTACCTTACGAGCAACTCCCGTAGAGTGGCTTCATCGTCCTCCTGTACCTCTTCCTGCGTCTCATTACTGGACGAGCCGCGGCCGGGATGATGATGGCGGTGCTGCCTACCGGTCGTCCTGGCGCCGGGTGGATACTGGCCGTGAAGCCCGTGGTGATGGTGATGGCGGTGCGCCGCCGAGGCGTTGGTGTTGGCCGAGTGCAAGTAACGGGCGACGGTGTTGTTGCTGGTGCTCTGGCTCGCTCGCTGCCTGGTCAGCTTAGCGACGACAGCCGCAGGTGGCGGCAGTACGGCGCCTGCACCGGACTCCACGTGACTCCTGCGTACGGCATACTGCTCCTCCTCCACCCTGCTGACGACGATGATATCCTGCTGGCGCGCCCGATCCGACGGCCGCCGACGATCGGCCGATCCGCTCCGCGATCTCGCTTCCGGGCGTTGCCCGCTACTCCTGCCCGCGCTCCTGCTACGGGGTACGGTACCGGTCCCGCCGCCGCTGGTGACGTCCTCCTCGTATCTCCACCAGCCGCTGCTATCTCCAACCTGAACCCCAAAATCGAGACTCCCTCTGCTCCCGCCGACGTCCTCTCCTTTCTCCTCCTCTTCCTCCTCCTCTTCCTCCGTCTCCTGCAACTCCTGCCTCCTCCCAACCCCGGCACCAGCCGGTCGGTCCGTATCCTGGGACCCCGAGAGGCCCGGGATCTCTTCGTAGAGACACTCCGAATCCTGATCCGTCGGCACTGTCGCGCTCTGCCACAACTGGTTTATTGGCTTAAAGCCGCGTGAATCGGCCATCGTTCAAGCTGCGTCCAAAACACAGACACAGAAACCGTATACCGATTGTGTATCCTCTCTTTCGCATATATCTCTTCTGTCTTTCTACCGTTTTTTTCTTTTCGTGATGAGATGACGGCGATGATAATGATGAACTTTTGTGTGACGCTTCGTCCGTGATCGATCTCGGAGAACTTTCACGGACTTTTCAGCAGCAACAAATCAAATAAAAAGACGCGCGCGCGCGACACGGCGAAAAATAATATCGCACATATCGCGGCAAAACGCGATTGCAAATGCAGTACTTACATAAAACGCAATCAATAAAAATAACATGTAACATTTCAGTGCCACGTTTTTTTTTTTTTTTTTTTTTTTTTAACACGGGAGTTTTTTTGTGTGCGCAAAAAACGAGGTCCGCGCTAAGTTAATGTGAGCACGAAAGAAATTTTTCGAAAGTGGGCTTTCCATTAACGGCCTAATAATAGACGGCGGAAGGAAATAAATAATTCACGAGGAGTTCGCCCCGCGCGTACAAAATGTGCTGTAACTTGCGGGGGTAACTTTCGTCCGCTCGAGACGTCGTCGGGAAGAAGGAGGAGGAGGAAAAGGAGAAGGAGAAGGAGAAGGTAAGGATAACTGAAATAACGGTGTGTGTTTGTCTTCGAAGAAGGGAGGGCACGCGATCCCCGGTGGAACGAAAGTTGCGCCGACCTCGGGGACGCAAACGAGCGAGGGTGTGCGGATACGAGAAACGGAAAACTAAAACTCATCACGTTCGGACGGTCGCGAAACCGACTATCGCGGCGACGATGAGAGACGGTAATCGTGAATGTGTGGCGCATCGCCCGCAAGTGAATTAGCAGCAGGCGAATCGTTTATTTGTGACAATTAACACGCTAATAATAACGTCTTGTTTTTTTTTATTCGCGACTGCGCGCGAACATACTCGATCAGTAAAAATTGTGTTGTGTAACTTAATTTCAAAAATATTTACGTCAAAAGCTTTTTTAAAAAAAAACACATAAGTACTTTTTAAACGAAATATAAAATAAAGTATAAATTATTATTGTTAATAATAATTATTATTATATAATTTCTTAAATTTCGAGCTTTTTCGCTTAAATTTAAAAATATATATTCACAACTGGTGCGTTTTAAATTCTTGTTGTCATTTCGCAACGGCTGAGACGGTTTTCGTGGCATCTCTCGGCAACCCGCGTCTTATACTCGCCCTTTTGTGTGTTTTACAGTTAATTATTTGAATTATACATAAGCTCTTTATATGAAACCGGAGGGAAGGATAAGAGAAGTGAATTATCGTGCATATGCATGGCGGCCGCTACCAAGTGATGGAAGTCCATAATTTGTAAGATCCATTTTCCGGGGCTTTCACGGTAGAACGTACGGAGCTTCATATTTAAAGAGGACAAATTATTATACAAATTACACGCGCGAACTCGCCGCGCACGATGTGTATAACCTCACCTTCCCCGAATATTAATGTTTCAACGTCAGAATTTTTAACAGTGAATTTTTTTTCTGATAACTACAATCTCGAACAAAACATACGCGCGAGAAAAGGATCTTTTTCTCAGAAATATCACTCCGATTTTGAACTTTTCACTTACATAAGAACTGTTTCTCACACATTCGGAACGAGCAACGCGATACATACGCAACGTATACTCGAAGGAGAGTACGAGACACCTCTTTCTCCTCCCCGGGGTCATCTATCATAAATGAAGAAATACGGACTCACCTTGAAGAATTCGCAAGCCATTGTGCCCCGGCGATGATATATCACGCCACGACGTTTTCGTCTCGCACCTGCTCGCCTCCGCTCTCAGTCGGAGAAGAAACTCTCCGTTGGTGCCGATTTATCGTCGTTACCTATCGAAAATCGTTTCGGACGAGGAGAACGGGAACGGCGAAACACCGCGCGCAAAAGAGGGGCCGAAGGGAAATGGGTAGGAGTGAGTGTAAACACACACGATATATGACAAACGCGGATACGCGAGAACGGAGAATAAACCGGCGGGATTTCCACACCACCGCGCTGTATCAGAGCGCACTAACGTATCACGTTTTCAGAAGGGCCCTTTTCCTCCGATCGATTGGGCTTGTGTCGGGCTCGGTGCGAGACGGCGATTGCTAAGAACCTGAAACAAAACGAGGCGATTGTCGTTAGATTTGTCGCAACCTAGGTCCGCACCTGAATTTGAAGTTTAAGCAAAGCCCCGAAAGGCAGAGCTCGGACTGACGCTTTTGTTTTATTTGTTCTCCAATCCTTCGTCTGAACTTACACGCGTGTGTAAGACACAACTATGATTACTTTGTACACACAAGAGAAAAAACGTGTTGGTGCGATGAAATTTTTATCTAGCTGATAGAGTGAAAAATTCAAGATTTTTAAATGCGATAATTCGAACCGGTTTACAGGTTCTTATGTTACGCGATGAAACACACACTCTTGATGATTTAAAAAAAAAACGTTTCGACTTGCGATCGACAAGTCATCTCTTCGGTCGAATACAGTAACTATAGGAAATAATAAAAAAAATAATCGCAGTAAATAAAAAAAAAAAATATGTGACAGATATCCACGAAGATTTCGGAGAAGAGAAAGACAGAAAAGAGAAAACAAACTTAATTACAATCGTTAACATGCCTCTCGCGCGAAACGCAAAGAAACTGAAAGAAACCGTCGCGGTGTTCAAAGTACTTGCTCGCGTTTGAACATTTTGTGAGAAATACACCATAAATGTCTGCTCGTTCTCGCAATAATCAGAAACTTTCTGAGGTAACAGGAGGATTCGAAATGAGATGCGAATCGTCAAAGTCGAATGGGCATCTCACAGAGAGGAGACATGTATATATATATATATATATACAGAGGGAGGAATATCGGGGAGTTGAAATCACTTTAACTTCGCTGCTTACTTTTTACTTTGACTCTCCGGCTTCTTCTTCTTCTTCTGAAATCTTTCGGGCTTCGAAAATGTCAGAGAGGATCTCATTCAATTAGAATTCTCGGATTCTCATCCGCGACCCCGCCGATCGCGCTCCGTCGGCGGCGCTACGCGGCGCCACGGTGGGTGCAAAATCAGAAAAAAAAAGAAAAAAAAAAACGAGAGAAAAACTTGTCGCGGGAAAAAAACTTTGCAAATCTAAATATATCTGATCTCTAAATATCTAGACGTCACTTTGACGTGACAAAACAGATGAGATTGCTACAACGCACGCTCCTGGGACGTTGCGAAACTTTCTGTTCATTTTCCGTGAGACATGACTGAAACTTTTTTTTTTTTTTTCGCCGCGCGTTACCGCGAAGTTGCGAGAGGGATAACAATTATATCGTATAAATTATATACGTGTCATTAAAACAGCGAGCTCTCGGTGTTAGTCATTCCGCGTGTATTTCTATCTCTTCTTCGCTTCTCTCGTAATTGCGTAATTTACGCCGGGAGTATCTTGAGGCAATAATTGAGTTTTCGCACATTCCCGAGTCGAATTTCCGAAAAGACGCGAAACTTGCGTTCTTTAGAAGCGCGTAAAAATTAATTCCGTCCAAAAACACATTTTCAAATGGCCGGGAATGATATCGCGAAACTTTTAAAGTGCCATCCGATTCTCGATGCTCTGAAACCGTTGCTCCAATTTTCGATAGAAAACACAACAAGTCGCGCGCTCGTTGACTAATGTTGCGGAACGGGAACGTACGATTTTCGATAGTGCACAGGTCTTATCTAGCCGGTGTCATGCTCCGCAACGTGTCGACGCTTGACTGGCGTCTCTCCTGTCGTCGGAGACGACATGAATTTTGCACGGAAGCATCGCGTTACGCTTTAACACAACTATGAATAACCGAAACCCGGTCGAGCGAAACGACGATGTGTTCCTTAAAGAATATTCATGTTCGCGCTATATTCTCTCTCTCTCTCTCTCTCTCTCTCTCTCTCTCTCTCTCTCTCTCTCTCTCTCTC